AAATTGTGAGTTATGCTAAATAAATCAATGTCAAAACCACATCGTTGTGTTATTTTCTCAAGATTCAAGGGTTCTTCATGGCCAAATGCAGCTTGAATATACCGATGATAGCCAGCTCCTTTGGGAGGCCCTGGGGACATGTATTCTGTAAAATGAAATTAAAGTGTTACAGTACATATACATTGTAAAATGCAAAATGTTTTCTTGTTCAGTAGAAGTATATGATACTATAGTCAATAATCTTAAATGTCAGCTATCATATAGGAAACTACTCCATCATAAGTAAAACAGACTAAAACAATATGAAAAGATCTAGCTAAAGAATAAAGACATACTTCTTGCTATAAAACGTATTTCATACCTGTTACCACGTTGAACCCTGTATTAACATTAGCAGAAATGCCATTCTGAAGATCACTTCCCTTAAATGAAATAAACAGCATTGTAATTTCTAGCTGTGCACCAGAATTTGCTTCTGGCCAATTAGTTCTAGCCAGAACCGACGAAAAAACACGGCAAAAACTGAAATCCTTGGACAGAGAGTAATATAATAATTAACTATAGGAGATAGATAACATTCTTCCTACCTTGACATCAGACAACAACATATGTAGCCAACTTCTGCATTTCGATGCATCAGGATCGATCATCAGCACTTCATAAAATTTTTCCTGGATAAAAAACAAAAATTAAATTCAAACTAAATTGTTGCAGAAAAAATCTTTGGGATTACATCTTTTATACACATATGTTTTTAGTACAACAACAACAATGTGTACCTTATCTGCGTGAGAAAATGAGATATTTGGTGGATCAGGAGTGACCAATTCCAGATCATATTTGGTGCCACATTTAACAACCAAAGATCCGTAAGTTACGTTGAGAACATTGTTCTTACTGGTAGGACACGCGTTAAAATTATATCCTTGTATCTTGTAGATGTTGGAAATACATAAGAGAACAAACACACAGCAACGAGTGAAATTCATCTTTAAAATATGGCAAAGTCCGCACAGATCAAACCACACTCGCACAGATCAAATCACAACTCGCACAGTGCAATATTGTCCCACAATATTGCAATTTTTATAGGCAGATTGCGAGGGAAAAAATTGCAAGTTGACTATTAAAGGTTTCTAAACAATCGTCTGATTGGGACTATTAGCAAAATGAAAGCCAATGACATAGCCTGAGCAACTGGATTGGTGCTTCCCTATTTCTTATATAGTCCAAATCAGAGGCTTTGTTTACAAACCTTTAGTAAATTTCAACTTGCAATTTTTTTCCCGTCGGTTGCAAATTGCTCCGAGCAATCTGCCTATCAAAATTGCAATATTGTGGGACAATATTGCAGTGTTGCTCGCAAGAAAACATCCGGTTTGAATGTAAGAGATTTCTGTAAGACATTTCAAAATAATTTATTTACTATTACTTGAATAATTTTACAAATACCTAATAATATTTTATGAATTCTATGACTATGGAAGATCATTTTCTTCCTACTGTATATGCATTGCGAGGCAATGTTTATCAAACAATGTTTTGGATAAGATCAGCGTATGGTGTTCCTGTTTGGGCAACCTTCTCGAATGTTGACAGGAATGATTTCTTTTCATCTTCTATTAAATTCTGGGAAGATAATTTGACAAGATAGTCAGTATAAAAACTAAACGAATAAGTGGTTTTCATTAAGCATATCGCGCAGTTATGAGCGTGAGAAACCATGCATAAGCATTCCTTACATTATACGTATGAATGTATGTGGGGGGTAAATAAATAGAAAATGAGAGATCCAATATGATTTCTCCTCCAAGTGTCTACACTTATCGACCATCATATGCTGCCCTGCTACTCACCAGTAGCAACGACATAAACATCGACAGAAGCTAGTAGTTACCCAAGAGTTATATTCTTATGTGCATGATGGTCATTTATCTTTATACGCAACGCAGTAGTGACGAGCGCAGTAATAAGAGTTCTCTCTTGTTTTTCACACTTTCTCGTGCAGGACAAAATCTTAATTTTTTGATGTCTTAGTTAACTTAAATATTACCTGATTATGATAAAAATCCGTGGCAGTAATAAGAAAGTAAGTACGATCGATATTTTCCAACTTGCCAATGCGTGAAACGACATGTTGAAATCTCAATAAAGTTAAGATTCATAAGAGCGTTCTTCATGTGACTGATTTTACAAAAGCACAATCATCACCATCGTACAACAACAACGACATCGACAACGACATCGACAACGACAACAACAGTAACAACACCACCATATTGTTGCACATTAATAACTTGCGTAAACAACAACGCCAACATCAGTCATCATCCCAACGACGACGATCACAACAAAGTGTCAACAACGGACACAAGTGGCAGTTATCATAAGAATGACATAATATATCGCTATTGCAAGAAATATTACTGGGGATGTCATAACACCTTCAGACCGATCTCGGAGACAAGCACTGCCTAACAATGTTTTGAAATTTTATCATCAGAAATCACTTGAAGAAAATCACTATTCGGCTCCAAAACTACACTCATTGTATAGAAAGGATACAATGCTCTAATCCATTTGTTTGTGGAAGCAGCGATAAAAACACAGGTAAAACTCCACACAGCCATTCCCAATGGCGGTCTGGAGAAAGATAGAGTAAATATGTAATTAATTCATATGGACATTGGACAATAATATTGATACACAGCGAACTATAGCAAAAAAATCATACCAGCAAAACAGGTAGTACCTTTGGGTGAAACTGCTGAGTGACAACAGAATCCAATCTTTTACAGACGATTGTTGACCTTTACTGATCAACTTTTCACACACCTTGGCGGAGAGAAGCAACATTAAAATATTCTCAACTGGGGATCGAACCCAACGTCACTGGTACTTTAATATACTATTCTAAACGCATTCTGAGCTATTGGGATGCAGGATTGATACAGACCTAATGTATTATACCATGATCGCGGGATATAGCTAATCGAGAAACGAGCTTTGTATATATTGTTGTGTGACGAGGTAGGCTAACACAGCCATAAAGGATGCATGGTATTGCTCTACTGTCTCAGAAGAGTGGGAATAGTAACTTGTAGAGTTTAAATAGATAGTGTGGAAAAACTTGCTGGAAAAATGTCTCAATATCCGAACCTTTGTTCCTTTGCGATTCCGATTGGGTTCGATTCTTGGCTAAAGGTCCAGACACACCGGACGCGATTCGGCAACGCGACGCGAATTTTCTGTTTTCAAAAACAAATATAACCGTCAGTGAATAAAAATTTTACAAGATATGCAGACCAAATAGCTAAAATTGCTTCAGTGACAGTGGTTCCGACTATTTCACTGAAAAACATTGAAAAATATTAAAGTTAATTGCCATTGAAAACTGGAAATTCGCGTCGCGTTGCCAAATCGCGTCCTGTCTGTATGAGCCTTAAGACATGCAAAAGTGAATTTTCACCATATTTTCCCATAAGAAATATTTACAACCATTTACGTGAATTGAAAAGAAAAGTTGCTTTTACACAATGCAAACCTTATATAAAACAGAGGCCATAAGTTCTGGATGCGGTTGTTGACTGGAGAGAAATTCTCCTATCACTTTATTCATCACGTCAGTTGGAGAAAAGAAATCACCCAATACTATTGGTAAAATTTCTGACACCAACTTTGCCTCAGAACGAAAACCTTTGCGGATTCTGAAACAATACCAGTTACATTTAGTGTATGGTCAATGATAGAAGTTGAATAATTTATGCTCATTTTGGGAAAAATACTGCTCAAATAATAAAAATAATGCTCATTTTGGGAAAATACTGCCAGAACAATAAACTAGAATCCTTGAAAAATCGTTTCCTTACGAAGACAGCAAATGGCGCTATCCCCAAGTAAGTAAAATCTGAACCTCTCTAATATTGATGGAGGAATGCGTGTAAACGTACCTATCAAAAAGTGCGGTAACTCTTTCTAACGCCACTAAAAGTACATCATCTGTGGGCGTGTCTACAATCTCGTTTTCTTGAAATAAACCACTAGGACGATCACCTTCCTTTCCTGTATACATACAAGTGAGCAACAGACCAAGAGCAGAGATGGCTTTCTGCGGGTTTCTCATCGCCAATCTAAATATACATTATACGGTAATACTTCAACCCGTCGATTTGAAATAGTAATAATAATAATATAATAATAATATCCGCAGAGTAGCTCTTCATTCGTTCACTACCTATTTTACAATCTATTAATAAGTTGAAATCTTTGACCTTGCAAATACGTCCGCTTAAACAAGGCATTTGTTTAATATGGGTGATAATAATATTATTTTACCAATAGTGGGACCCGAGAGACGTCTTCGTTCATAGGATTTCCCATGTGCTCATAAACTTCATAATTGGTTTTATTGCTGATACAAGTTATTATTGAATCAGCACCTAAATGAACAAAACCTCTTACCTGTCGACACTGAATTTAACCAGGGAATCACTGTCTTCTCTGGATAATGAAAATGAAACGACCAGCCTTTCCAAGCCACGAATGATTGCATGATAAAGATGTAACGGAATGTTCTCATCTCCTGAGGATGCCATCGTTATAACAGACTGGAAAAAGTCGATATGAATTAAAGTGAATTCCCTTGCTGATAGAGGGTGTGGCCAAATTATGTAAATATTTTCTTGTTTATAGTGTTAATAAACGGCGAAGTGAAGCCCTACCTTTAAAAAGTTATGTTTAAACTCAACATCAGTAATGTCATTTTCATAATGTTCCAGCAAGTAAAATGATATCGACAATAAAACCAGCAGACGATGTTCTCCAAATACGCTTGAACTTTCAAAGAAAATCATTTAAGAACATCAGTCGAAAATTTATCAACCATTACTATAATGAGACGTGTGAAAAACATTCCATCGAAAGTCTTCTCTACTCAACATGTATAATTACTTTTTGTGTGTGTTGGTGTTATGTACTCAGGTGAATATGATGTTTGTGGTGTTACTCTGAGTGTGCATCCACACTGGCTCGAACCGACTTGACCTTGTAGCTCAGTTGGCAGAGCATTGGACTAGTATCCCAAAGGTCGCGAGTTCGATTCCCACTGTGGTCAGGCAAACTTTTCAGCTTGCCCGGTGTGGATGCACACTCAGAGTAACACCACAAATATCATGTACAATTACAAAGTGTACCTATGCCTTCACTTACTCAGTAACTTGGGCCAAGATTTTCATGACGTAATCAGTGACCAGAGGTATGACTAGACTGACAATTGAAGATATGTGTGATTCCAGCAGATACAGTGCTCCATACATACCTGAAACCTGCAGTTCAAAATATTAACAATGCAGCCTTCCTAACAAATCTGTACCCCCTTTAACATATGAACTTGGATCAGCCTTATGCAGGTTCACGTCCATTTCTCTCTACGGATTACAAAGTTTACGTACCTGCAGCGGGACATGAGGAGCTTTTAATGCAGTCTCCATTATTTTAACAACTTTCTCAGGAATAACTCCTTCCTAAAACAAGGCAGGTTAAAACAGAATAGTAGTATACAAATAAAACATGCTTCATATTAAGCGATTGCTGGGATTAGGCCAAGCTAAGGTTTGCAATGCTAATGCGGCTGTAATGCTTTGCAATATAATGAAGACAAACAGTATTGAGCACGCGGTGTTTCTCGGCGCCATGTTTCCCAAGGTGGAAAAATGAAGAAACGACACACAGTGATGACGTTGCAGTGCGAGGCGTTGCATGTTGTTTCTCCCTCTTCAAAACACATTCTACCTGTTCTTTCCCTGTCAAACAATACACTCAGTCTACTAAAACAATACTAACCATTTTTAGAACCGCCAATGCCTTACACAAGGCAGGCAGTAAATATTGCATCATAATTTCATCTTCATTGGGATAATTTTGATAAAGATCCAGCAACTCACTCAACATCCATTCATACTGCGCAGGATCCACAAACAGATCCGAAATAATCAGTAACTAAAATGGGAAATTGTCCATCATAAGCGATAAAACTTTCTGTGTGGGAGTGACTAATCATCCTTATATTGGTCTGACTGTTCTACCAAAGCCCCATGTGAACATCAACGATGACGACGAAATAAATAATAAAGGAAACAGAAAATGCCTATACACAGAACTTACTGATTTTACAGACTGAGTAAGCAACATGAGAGGGGTCTTGGGCAGGGTATAAGGTGAAACCCATTGTTCAAATAACTCCATTAGAAACTGGACACAGGAACGAACATCGATTTTGTCTTGAGTGGACAGCGTGGGAGACGTGCTGGTGGATGTAGAATTTGTTTCGTCAAATTCATTTGAATCAACAGGAACGCATTGGCTCTGAAGAGAATTGATGCAAATCTAGAGGAAATAAAGAAGACGAGAGTTGATTTCTCTAAATAAGAGCTAAATGAGTGACAGTGCACATTTAATGACATAATAAAGTCTTAATTCCCAGCTATATTATATCAGTTCTACAACATTTTCACCACGTATAAAGGTTTTGAACCTCTCGCCATTTCAATAGCATGTTTAGATTGGTAGATAAGCGCAAAATATGTAACAGAGAAGAAACTAGAAATTGATTGTAGAAATTAATATTCATCAGCCTCAGACATATAGGCAAGGACCCTTCATCAAAAGATGAGCAGAAAAAAGAATGTACAGTAAGTTCATTTCTTCTGCAGAGGACAAGCTGAAGTAAGACGAAGTCATCTGAAAATGAACTAAATGACTGTGCATCTAAATTATTGTTTATGATTTAAAATGAAGACAGATGCCATGCACACTATAATAAATTGAATTGATTTCATTAATAACTACTGTACCTGTCCCAGTGAGTATGAATGTAATCCAGAAACTCTCTCGATATTTCCTCCATAAAAATTCCCAGTATCAATGCCAGTTTGCCATGTCGAACTGCCAAAGAAAAAATAAGTAAGCAAAATCAAATAAAACGGCAGAAAAATTGCGAGGTGTTTGCATGCTTACCTTTGTGGGCATTGTTGAATAAAGTGGTCTTCGACGATTCTTCTAACGGCGCACAATTTTCTTCCAGCCCTGTACAAAAGAAGGAACAGTTCTACGTTTAAGGTTATCTCAGGTAACCTCATGCCTTCTGTCCCTAATCAAAGTACCATGGTCTGCAAGTGTGAGGCAATCATCAACACCCCAGAATAACCATCAACACCCCCAAAACATACCTGCTATCCAAAAATGGCAACTCTTTTTGCCTCGACGTGTGAAAGTTTGTCCCCACGGACGGGTTGCCAGGTAACGGATGCAATGTCGTTTCAAGCAAAAGAGCCGTGATACATTGCAATGCCAAGCAGCCAGATTTGATGGAATCAATGTCTTCCTGGAACATAAAAGAACAAATATTGAGAATTGAAGATGTTGAATTGTTGAATTCCCGACATCAATAATTCTATGAAGCACGCCAATTCATGAACAGTGCTGGAGAAATTAGGCCACATCACAGATTAAAATTATAGATTTCATCTGTAGCCATATTTTGCTGTCGCCATCATCCGAAAAACAGGAGTCACGACAGCAAAATGTAACTGACTCGCAAATTTATTATACCTCTCTGGACGCCTGTTCAGGTGATAAAGGGGAACTCAAAACACCAAGTAACGCTGCCCATGTCTCTTCAAACTGCTGGCGTGAAATCCAACCTGCAAGATTAAGGATGACTTTAAAATCATGAAGAAGAAACGATGTCAAATAATTACACTGCTCTTAGCCAATCCAAACTCAGTAATTTTGTCGTGCAATACAAAAACACGAAACTTTTACAGTGGGTTGTTAGGACTACGGTGGTCCGCGCATGCGCCTTTGACGGAGGATTCCTACAATACCCTACACTTGTCGGATTATAATCTCGCCTCAGTCCCCTTCGAAAAAAATGCTTCCAATCTGAGGCAACCCCGCGTTTCTTCGGATACTAAGGTTTTCTTTTGTTCCATCTGACAATTACTTGACCTTTAGGGAGAACAGTAGCCTGCGTGCAGGCCCAAGGGAACTGATAGTGGGCCTGCAACCATCACCCCATGTTTTCGATTTTCGCCGGCCGAACCGCCGGCTAAATTCCCATTGGCTAGCTGAGGCGATCGGTAATTAATTAACCTAGCGTGCAGGCCCAAGGGAACAGTGATTCATCACAAAGGCATAGACAAAGGCTCTCGATAAGCTTAAAATTTGAAAATTGATTACTTTTCGATTACAAATGGAACAAGAACAGACTGTTTATTGTTTACTTGAAGGAAGACATGTTTTTGCCGTTATGCCAATGGGGATTGCTTGTCGTGAGGTGTTGGAATAGCAAATTACGACTGGGGTAAACTATAGTAACCTTTACTTGAGTTTCATTAATTTCAAACAGACTTCAGTTGATACGTTATGTGTTCTCACTTCCTCAAGAAAATTATCTTTTGGTTGATGTTGAGATGCAGTTGCATGTAAGGACTGTAAGCCTATTCGAAACACTTTGCGATTTACAAGGCTTCGCTGAGAGAGCGAAACAGAAGGCGGTATTAAATTGCCGTTTGAAACGAAACGATCTGGACTCGGAACGCTCTCTTCTTTTGTAGAGTTCTTTACCAAATGAAATAAATGAAATAAATTTCGTACTTTCCGCCGCCAACAAGAATTGCACACACGATCTGATAAGTGAGACAATTTATTTATAACAATGCCAATGGCGACAGCGAAGCACACATAATATAAATCCTAATGTGGTCGCACGACTTCCCTCATGATTTGAAGTTTGAGACTGGTTTTCTGTTGAAATTCGTCCTAATTTGCCTGTTCCGATTTTAGTTGAAAATGAGCACTTGCAAATTTGGCAATTACTGACTGCGTTGCTTGCTTTTTTGGAGTTAAAACGCAGCCACTTACACATTGTTTATTAGTGTTCTGAATAAGCAGAGAAAACCCCGCAACATTTTAATGCGAGTTTGTTTGTTAATATTCGGGTGCTGTCATTGGTTCTTTTTCGACAATTGACGCGCGAATGGGGCGTGTTATGAAAAGGGGCGTATTTCAAAATACCGGGCGATGGTTGCAGGCCCACTATCAGTTCCCTTGGGCCTGCACGCAGGCTAGGAGAACAGTTTACACATGATACAGCAATCCAGTAACAAGCAAGTTAATTTAGCTCAGACTAAGATAAGACACTGGACCAATAAGGGAATGCTGTTATCAAAATTCTAGGTGGAACAGTTTTAAACCAGGGCGATTTTTTGAACTGATAAAACATTAGATATATAAAAACAAGAAACTCACCAATAGAATGAACTCTTAGTACAAAATCTTGCAAGACATCTTTCTCTCTCAAAATATCAATAGGTAATGGCGGTAATTCTTTGCCATGTTCATCATCGCCCCAACCCATTTTCCATACAAGTGGCGGAATACGTACGTGGGAGTTAAAAATAGTCAAACGAGATAAGCCAGTAATGACGTCATGAAATGATCGCGTCAGAGTATCAGGAACGGAAGAATAGTGACTAGTGTTATTCAATAGTGTGTATAGGTAATTGACCAACATTGAGGCTTGTTTTAGGGGGATATCAGAGTCAGCTAAGTCGCTGTAGGTTTTATCTTCAGGTAATGTTATTCCTGGCTGGAGAAACACTAAAAGATAAAAACATTTGTTGAACTCATGTAACAAAACTACCAAGTGCAGTAGAAAGTAAAAATCATTGTTCACCGAGGAAGTAATGCTAGAGTTTCGTTGGGTAAAACACGGCAAATATTATCAAAGATTTCAGTCTGCCATTACCTGTTCTTACAAGACAATAAACAGAGCGAAGTGCATGACAAACCCAAGACAAATACTCGGAAGAATTTACAACAAAGTAGAGATGTCGACTATGCAGCATCTAAATAAAGAAATCAGAGTTCACCACAAGCATAATATATATCAGTCATGTCTTCAATTACCACTTAGTACTGTACGTGAATATAATCCTTCCTCAAACAAATTTGGAAGGGTCAGTTAGGGGCTACTCCCAACCCATCCTCTCAACATTCCCTGCGGAAGAAAGGATCTGTGCGCGACGCTCGTAAATGTCATTGCGACTTAAGGCCGTTTTCCACTAGGCGGAATTTTGCGCGCGGAGCGGAATTTTTCTTTGTCTTGTGATTTCTCGAGTGGAACTAATTAGAAAAGACAAAGAAAAATTCCGCTCCGCGCGCAAGTGCGTGTGCATATTGACGGTACTACCTTTTTTCTAGACAGTTCCAATTTACACTGTAAAGCTGTTGAACAGCGAAATATGTGTGTCTGTAAATACAACATAGTATACAACAGTATGTAGTACTTACCCGAGAAAAACAACGAAGAACAGTAGTAAGTTCTGATGTACAACAATGTTTACATTTTCTGTTTTCAACACACAAAACCTAAACCAAAATATTAATTAATTATCACTGCATCTACTCTCAGACTTGGGAGAAACAGCACTCCAAAATGGCGAATATACCGAGGACGAGAAAGGCTAATTGCTCCAATGTTGATAGTAATATGAAAAGTCAACCAATTTTTAATAAAATTACATTTGAATATACGTATATTAAAACAATAATCCATGCATATGTTTAGCAATGTTAGGATTCCATACCTCTAAAGCAATCATACCAAACTGACATACAGCACAATATATAGCTCTTGGCAGCTGTGCTGCCGGTGGCAATTTGTCCATCAAAGATAAATACACATCCACTCCTTCTGTGATGTCGAAGAGTCTTTGTTTCCATGTAAAATTTTGTGAAAGTTCATTGACTTGAGAAGAATTTATTGTAGATTGTATTAAAGAAATTTCGCTATTGTCAGTTCTTTGAGTTTGTCGATTATGTTCATCGAATGTCGTAACACTAAACACGATTTCTTGCACGTGTCTCAAGAGAAGGCCAAAAGTACATTGGAATAAATGGTCTACACCATAACTGTCAAAATAAGTTGTGTCTTCAAAAGGATTACTTGGAGTCTGAAAACAAATAAACAATGAGTTGGTATAATGTCACCATGGTGCATCCACCATCGTAACATGGGGGAGGGGGAGGTGAAATTTGGAGATAAGATTTGGTTGAGATTTAAGGGAGTTGGTCCCTACCCTTAATTTAAGTGTGTCCCAAATACGACGCCTAAAATGTCTGCCTTAAATATCCCAATCTAATCAATAGATAATCAAACCTTACGTACTCATGGTAGCCCTTAAGAAATCAGATAAACGTAATACATTTACCTCATGATCAAATTTTCTTGAACAAATTTCAACTGTTTTCTTTATACCAAATTCCAAACAAGGAGAGAGCAAAGTCGTGTTAAATTTCTAAAAGATCGATGTTGTACAATGGAATAATAGATAAGTTTTTTTCTTACATTAAACTATGTCGTTATATGAAAAATCTGCACACAATATACACCTCGTCATCCATGATTCTGGTGATTTCGTCGAAACTTAGAGCATGTAACAAATGAACAACTTCAGTGCAACTTTTGATACCAACTTCATTCATTTTCCAACAGCAGCAACAATTGTAGACAAACGAGTAAAACCAGTTCTAAACAAGACGAAACAGGTTTATAAAGTATAAAGTATAAAGTATAAAGGTTTATGAAGATGCTGCAAGTTAACTGCATACTAACCACTGCACTTGTCTGTTTGGTTTTTACAGCAGTAATGGCGGCCTTGCAATCTATTGTGTTTTCCACTGTTGGTACATTAAATGACTCTGGGGAGATGTGTGATATGAGAGAGGACAGACGTGGATTTCTAGAAAGTCAGAAATGTACAGTGAACATTTAGTAACGGCTCGCCACCAACCTATATGAACAGGCTTTGTGATTGGTTGATCATAACAATAAAAGACAATGAACTATAGAAATTACCTTTCTAAAGAACGAGTCATAAACACTGATCACGATTGTTTCATGAAGCCAATCACAAAACACGATCATTTTAAGTTGGTATTTACTCATAGTAACTGACAAAACAGTACACTTGTGATGCGACCAACCATGGAAATATTATGAACTTACTGTACATGTTCTGTTTATGTTATTTAAAATAGGAATAAAAGACAACATTTCATGGAGTCAAGTCTAAGTTAAACTCTAACACATCAAATATAGGATATTTCGCGCAAATTTTAACCTGGCACAAAAGGCGGAGCAAAAACAGTATGTGACAATTTTCACTTGTCAGTGACTGAGTATTCCTCTTAGAAAATGGTTTTCCTATCATAAATATACTCATCATTCTAACTTTTATTATACTTACTCTAACCTTTGAAGAACAGACAAACCTTTTTGTGACACCAATAGTAACCAATGAATTATGAATACTTTTAATATCTTCAGACGAAAAGAACTCTTCAAATTCCTTGAAAAAGAAACCCCGGTGTAAATATTCCATCGACAATGTTTAAGTTACGAAAAAGAATAAAATGAGGAATAAAATGGCTTGGCATTAGTGCAACATACCTCCTTTGGTAAAGACATGCAGTATTCCAATCTGCTACAGATCATGGTCTCACATTTTCTGGTGATTGCACGGTAATGGCTGTTGAGGAATTCTGTGACCAACAACTGAATAAGACTATTAGACTGCTTATAGTGAAGATCATCCAAAATAACAAGTAGTCCATTCGTGAACTCCAACTACAATAACGAAATGCATTTTAATAATTACTGCAAGAGACTTTGCTGTTTATTGCACTTTAGCCCCAATGGCCCCAAGTTTTGTGAACGAATATGTTTCTCTTAAGCTGGAATAATACGAGCAACAAAATTGCTGCAACTTGCAACAAAATCTGATTTCAACGCATGTTAACTAGAAATGCTGACACATGTTGCCTCGTGATTTGTAATTTATGCGTAAATATTTTCAATTAACATGCGTAGAAATCAGATTTTGTTGCAAGTTGCACCAATTTTGTTGCTCCTATTACTCCACCTTTAGATCTTGAGCCCAATCACAAACCTAACCTAAAGTTTACTGTACACAAAATATGAGGAAATAACGACATGAGAACGAGGCTAATGGGCCAAGAGTGCATTAAACAGTACAGTCTATTCCCCATTAAAGATATTGAAACACGAAGCTCTCTCAATCTCCAGCTGTTCTGTGCCATGTACAGTAATCCATCACTTACTGTATGCATACGGTTAGGTTTATTTCTACATGAATCTTTGGTGACATCAATAAACACCTGACTGCAGGTGGAACTGCTGTGTATCTGTCTGCAATATAATTGAAATAACTCGTTGTAAAACTCACAAATAATTAAAACACTAAAAACCTGGACAAACTGGAAATCATTTTGCTGCGCAAATAAGTGAACATTCTACGTTTCCTTTCCGGAAACGAAACCATTCACATGCATATCAGAACTTGCCAAAATTTTGGAGGCATTGTAGGAGTTAAAAACGCATAAAGCTTATTGTACCTTAATAGCATCCTTACTGGCGGTTCATGGGACATCTCAACAATATTGATTAAATTTTCCTTCACAAAGCTTTGAAATTTACTGGTATTTTCATCATGCTATATAAAAATACAAAAAGCGTATGATAATTTTCAGTTGTTTATACTCCTCTAATAAAACCGCAAACAACTTTTGAAAACTACCTTCTACCTTTTGTTCACTTACTTTTAACTGGGCGCTCAGTATTTTGCACCGAACTAGAAACGTTCCTTTTAGAGAGATGTGTCCATTAACAGAACAACTTTCTTGTCTCATCATTCGATCTGAAAAATGAGTAATATTGTTCAGACTACAACTGGTTGAGTAGTCAGCTTTGTGACGAAGCATTTTAATATCGCACAAAAAGGCTTGTTTTCTAAACGTTTTGAAAACAAGTTTTAGCTGGAGCAAAGAATGCGGTTGACCTTCTGTAATAAATTTAAAAGAACATCGTATAACAACCTTGTAAAGTTGTCCACCATTCCTCATCATCAAATCCAAAGAGAAACACAAGTTGTGTCCACTGTAGAGTTAAGACAGGTTGAGTTTCTTTCAACGACATAAACATTTCATGGATTTTCTTCATTTTTGTATCCATGACTTGTCGTGGTTCGTCACTGTTCAGGAAGTTTTCTTTTATAATTCTCGAGCCTGCGTTGCTAATGTTCTTGAACAAACCTAGAAGTAAAATATTATAGCTGTAGCACAGTTACATACAGTTATTTCGGTAGTTACATTACGTCACTTTGACTATATTTGTTTGCGCTGTGAGGAAGGAATATACTCTACAGCCCTGATTGTGGGTTCAATCCTGACTTGGGCTGGAAATTGAAATAGAAAACATGCAACTTGTAAGATATATGTCTAATACTGTAGGAGAGCAAATGCTAAAGAGTAATTCGTGACATAGCGATACGTTTCATCACCCGACCTCTATCTTTATACAAAATTTGAAAGGGTCTTCATTAGAGATAAATCCCTCATAATACCTGATCTGATAATTTCCTGTATATACAACAACAAGTAGGATGTCAGCTGCGATATAAACCCAACACAGTCTTTATCTGGTGATTCTGAAGCCATTGACGAGTGCTTAACAGCTAAGTACAGTGCATGAAATAGGAAACAAGCCATAATCTGAAAGACAAATAATACTATATTTATCATGTTTCGCTCGCTACTCTGGTTGGGTGTTGATTACAATTCGACTGGGCTTTGTAATCATTTATTTAAACCAGAGTAGCGAGCGAAACATGACTGATATACCTGGTTGCAGTGAACGAACAAACTTTAAATACTATATTTACTTAATGTCGTTTATACAATCCTAACTCAAGACGTTCAAGTAGCAAGCTTAACCCAAATTAAACTTTACTACTTATAAATTTGGTTTTTATATATATTTATTGTGAAGTCCATAGTTTCGAACATTTTCAGAAATATCAAAAAAGGATGAAAAGGCCATTGGATAGCGCTATACAGCCTTCATAAAACTGGACTCAGGTTTAATAAGTTTATCCAGTTACCTACCAAGGTCAGTACTCTCACCTTAGCAGGGTTGCTTTCTGATATCATATCAGACACATCCAGTTCTTCATCATCCACAATGTTCCCAATCAATCCTCCAGTGATCCCCAGTTGAGTTATTCGTGATAGAAGATTCTCTTCCGTATTTTGAGTAATAATTACTTTAAATAGGACGATAACATGTGACAACCATCTTTCCATCAGCAAAGTATTAGGCTGTAGAAAAATAGAAGTGTTATACGAATGACAAAGTTAATAAACACGTAATACAGTATACGCAGGGCTCAAATAGAGAAAAAATATGGCCTGCCAGTCTAAAATTTTTTGGCAGGTGAAATAAATTTTAGCCTGCCATGTTTATTCATTGAACTGCCAAAATGGCGATGTCTCGTATGAGTCATAGTGTAAAAATCAATGTTTTCATGCATTTTTAGTATTTTTAAACTTGTCTATTTTACCACAGTAAACTTGGATTTACATTTCAAATACGAACATATTTAGTCAACTAAATTATCTAGTATATATGAGTTGTGGTAAGCAAATGAGATGAAATATATCTATAGAATTTCACCCACCATTTTTTTTTTTACTTGACAGTTCAAATTTATTTTTGCCTGTCATTTCTAAAATATGGCCTGCTTTTGGCCATTGGCAGCCCGCTATTTCGAGCCCTGTATATGGTTTCTCAAATGGCTAGTACTAAAGCTAGCTTTAACATGGCATTCATCCACATTTGTCGTCATTATAAGAAAGGTCTACACGTACCAAATTTGCAGGAGCAAATATTGCTTTCAAAATGACATCAAGAGGACGCAATGCTATTGGAGCGACAGAATCGAACAGATTTTCTAAACACTTCAGACCATCTACGTCATCAATGATAATCTTAAAAAGAAGTGCTTGCGGTAATATCTTGCTGTGAAAAGTTATGAACATTTCACAGTATAAATCTAGTTACAAACTATTATCAAACCAAAAAGAAAAGTAACATTTGCATATAAAGTATTTTCGTTTATTTTTTTAAATAACTTGATGTCATACTAACCTGTTGCTTAATTAGCATTTGTAGCGTGATGTCAACTGCTTGTCTGGAAAATTTCTTCCATTTTTCATCATTCTTACGGTAAAATGTTAAAACATACACTAAAAGACTGAGAACCTAAAACAATAAGCGAACATTTAATACCACGATTAAAGTTAAACTTTGCACTAATAACCAATGCCACAAGCTACATGTATCACAGCTAACAAGCAAAATCATACAATCTTTGATTTACAAATTACGGTAGACTACCTACCTCAGGAAACTGAGCGAGTCTAAGCAACATTGAAATAAACACTTCCCTCTGTGTTTCCAGTTCTTTAGAATTTTCATTCCTTCCAGTTGCTTGAGTGTCAAATAAGTCATAGACGATAGGACAGAGTGCTGGAATGGCTGAATAAAAATAAACATTATTGCTGATTTAATAATCAGCTATTGTAACTGTATGCTTTCGGCCCCAGTGATTCAATTCCAGCGATAGTTTCTGGTGGAAGGCGGACATCACTGGTTCTCTTCAGGAACTACAGTACCCCCCCCCCCCAGTTATTCTTACACTGGATGAATAAAGAATGTCCTCTTACTGTATCTCTAGGGAGAACGTTTTAAAGCTGTACACAAAATAAATAAACTTAGTTGATTTGAGTTGAATTATATCAAGGCTTACCATGTGTCCTTGCAGACTGGCCACATGCCATGAGGTCATCACACACTTGAATAATCCTGGACATTCCAAACACAGACTTTGCTTGATTGAATTTCGGTTGGAAACATTCATAGGACAGCAGAATAAGAAACTGGAATATATGCGGAGAAAACGCCTCTATGTCTCTATAAACAATATGGAAACATTCTGTTACATATTATTATAATGATGTTGAAATAATTGTAATGTTATGAATATAAGCATTCTACAATAAGCTGTCGTAGTTTGGGTATATAAACTACCTGAAAAAGATTAACAACAAGAGGTTTCAAGCAGACACAACACTACAGGGCACAGTAGATTTTAGAGTACGACCTACGACCTAGACTGGATCCCCTCTTGAAATCCATGTATAGTCCATACCTTATTTGACCGGCTTCGATAAATTCAAACTGCTTCAAAACGAAATTCAAAAATGCCTACATCAACAACAAAAGGGTATGGTGAATAGAAAAACGTTATATGTTACTTCACGAATCCGTTATATCGAGTAACTGGGGTCTCATATGAGACTGAAGCGAAATAATAGACAATTTTAGGAATCAAACCTGAATGACAGAGGGAGAAGGCACATGCATTGAGCAATGTACCACCAACATTTTAGTGATGATAGAAATATGATAGAATTATGATGATAGAAATATGATGATTTGAATACCTGTTCTGAATCAAGTAGAGCATAATTGACTCTCAATCTGATGAGTTGAACCAATATACTAAGAACTTGTGCTTGAACCTGAATATCACTGGAACTTGTGTAGTCTTTCAGTGCTTGGATCACCAGTGGTTCAAACATTCTGATATAAGAATGAATATGAACTTGCTAAAGAACAACAAAATACCCTTGTTTAGACACACACCTACCATCTATGTTAACGTACCCAGTAGTACAATAATAAATTTTCGACACAGTCAAGCACTAAATACTCAAGGAAAAATATGCCACATACAAGAAGGCCCATGCCCTAATAATGCGAAGGACCCACAAACATGAAATACTGTATTTAAAGTTCTTTATTCGCATTAGCAAAAGGTTGTACTAACCTTGTCTACCTTCAATGGCGGTCTAAATGATCCACGTCTTTGACGCAACTTTTTTATGAAACCAAAGTCCTTAAAACTACAAGAATATGCAGGAATAAATGTGGTAGGTAGTTAGGCAGGTTGGTTAGTAGATAAGTTGGTTAATTTAGTACTGTAAGTGGGTGAGTGGTTTAGCTGGTACAGGTAGGTAGGTATGTATGGTACATATTGGTTGATAGGTAGATACATGACATAAATAGACATGCACTTAGACAAACACAGAGAATATGACAACCACAGCACCTTTTGCTTTCTTTAGTTTGATCACTCTTTCTGATCTCACCAAACGCTCGACCGATCTCTTGTTGAAATTCTTCATAATACGATTGATAAAATCCAACGTTGCCGGAATTCTTAATGGACACTTCAAGACAAGATGGTAACAGAACCTCGGTAATCAAGGCATTTTTTTGTGGAGGGGAATTTGATGAACTATTATCTGGTTGACTGGCCACGTTCACTCCAAATATTGCACGCAACATCTAAAACATTTTATATAATAACGTTAAGAATTCAAGCGCTTTCATTGTCGACAGCCATGATCTATTAGAGGAAAGATGCACGGAATTATGTCATACAAACCCTATCCAATAGCATTCCCTTGTTTGTATAAATCATGTACGCGTGATATTTGTAAAATTTCGACTTTTTCAAATTTCCAAATGTTTGGGTGGATAAGAAGTAAGCTATTTACCTGTTTAATTCGGGGGTTTTCTTTTTATTATATAAAACAAATAGATAAGATTTTGCCGTTGTGTGTTCAGTTATAGATACACATATGATGCCATACTCGGCAGCTCATGAGCCACTTTTTTGTTCTTCCCTCATTGCTCCAAAGAAAAGATTGGAAAAGAGCAAAATTACCAGCATACGGTATTACGTTTTTTGCCTTAATTTAGCTCCACATCCTGAATTCATGATGCATCTTTTTGCACGTTTACATCAATATTTTCTTTTAAATTTCATGTTGCATGGCAAACGTTTAAAACAAATCTTTCAAAAGTCAAAACTCTTACCTGTTGAACACAGAGATATGTAGTTGCCGCTTCACATTTGACTGTTGCTTGTAAATAGCCAATGATCTCTTCGACATTCTAGAAGTAGTAATGGCATGAATACAGCCTGACCAGTCAATAAAATACAGAACAAAACATCTTAAACCCAAGATATGGAAACAAGCGTTAATTTGTTTTAGTTCATATCTTGGGTTTTCGAGATGTTTTCATTTTTCGGATTTTGTTTTATATTTTAAGTTCGTAAATGGTCGGCTGGTTTTGGTTTATGAGCATCCAAAGTTCATGGAAAGAAGTCATTATTATTCAATAGAAGTTTTGAAGTGGCTATTGTTTTTTCGTGCAATCTGAGTGGTCGAAAATAAGTGTCCAAAAAATGGTAACTACTGTATCGTCTGCAAACTGAAACCTATACCCTGTCTCGTTGACAATTTATGTAAATCCAAATCTTCTTTTCTGAAATTATTTTAATATATACTTCTTACTGTAATTCTACATTTCTGAGTGTATTCGGGGTGACGATACTGTATATGGACAAGCGTTGTCTTCTATCTTACCTTTCCTATGTCAACGAAGGTCACTACTTCCAGAAGCATTGCAAAAACTGTTAAAGTAGTCTTCACTAATTTCACAAACTTTTCATCATCATGGAATTTTAAGTTTACCTGGAAATGTAGCACAGTTAGTAATTCACTGGGTCTGAATTTCTACCTTTAACCACGGCTGCGAGGGAGGCTAGAGTACGTTTTTCTTATACTCGCAATGGTTTTAAATCTTTTTATCAATTTTACTTCAAGATTGATGAACAATGGCTGAATGTTAAACCATACCTTGTAATTTGAGAATACGCCTTTGACTACTTCATATAACTGATAATAATGTGGCAGATGATGAAACTGTCCTAAGGGTGTATTAGATTTTCCCTCATTTTCACTACTTTTCCCTGTCGATCCTTTTTCACCCCCAACATTGGCAGTCTCCGACGCTTCAGTATTTCTTCGGGATCTATTCAACAGTTTCTTAGGACTGGCAACATTCGTAGTGGTGGAAGTTGTGTTGGATGTTGGAACTGCAGCCCCAGGGATAGCAGCTGAAGACTTGTCTTTATCTTTACTGAGTAATGACGGCTGTAAAAAAAATGTTGATTCTGATTAATTTGTTTAAATTTCACAGAGCCTCAGATTTACATAATTTAGGAACACGTACTATAAACCGAAGACTACTATACCAACCCAGTCTCTTAACCACAAGAAAAAGACAGGAAAGTCTGCTATTTTGAAGGGCATGGATTCACTTGAAAAGTATTTTCTTCAATAGGCATTATATTTTGGCACAAATACCGTAATTACTATATAACTTGAGAATAATTTAACCCTGTGTCAGGAAAATAATATAAATCCCTGGAAATATAAAGTGCATGTACAGTATACTCTGTGGGGATTTATCGTAAAAATTTATCATAATTTCAAACTTAATAACCGTCACAAACCTTTGCACTGTGAGCACCAGGCGCCACATTATCAATCACATGAAAACAAATATTCAACAATCTTAAAAAATAAAAGATATAAATTAAATGCCCTATGCTTGCATTAGGATAATGCACAGGAATGTTTTTCTCCAAAATCCTCACTATGGAAATAGTATGGAACTTAGTTGAAAATAGTACGGAAATCCACTTTTCAAACAAATTGCAATTTCCATACGTTGCATGAAAGTTTGATATACCTGAGAACATGAACAAAAACCTTCTCAGCCAATGCTGAAATGGTGGGATCAGCAAAAACAGTCCATTTACCAGGGGATTCTGTGGAGTTGACATCTGATTGACCGAGTGATATAGAACTGCTCGCTATGCCAAGTAGAAGGTTACCAACTAACTACAAGAGAGAGAGATGACGTTAACTAATAATAAGGTTATGACAATCTTGTAATAGATACAAGTTCAAAGAACAAACAGTCCCGTTGCGACCTCAGACGTTGGGTAACTTGGGTCGTGGAATTTAACGCGTTCAGGGATTACTTTGATTTACAGCGTGTACTTTAAACAGAGAAGAAATCCGAATTGTTAACAAAAATTTCATTGTAGTCCGAAACATAGAGTTCAAACACATTACAATCAATAGGCATTAAAAAACCGTAACATTTAACAATTATTCGCCGAAGGCGAGGTGATTATCGGTGAATAAAAACCGAGACGAAGTCGAGGTTTTTATTCACGATAATCACCGAGCCTGAGGTGAATAATTGTTTTAGTATAATTTCATAGGTGATTATTTGGAAAAAATAAAAAAATGCACATTTCTTCGTCTTTTAATTGACAAAACGGCTTCGGCCGCCATTTTGAAAATCGCTTAGGTGATTATCGCGTAATAATCACCTCAACGGCAACCAATCAGCGTGGAGAATTTTCAATAATCACCTATGTAATTATACTAATTTCTGTTAATTGGTTAGCGATTTTTTATCAATTCCCAGCCTTCTCAGTGGCTTTCTGGGCAGCAGCAATTCCTTGGAAAATATTGACACTCAGGAAAACGTACCAGAAGAGCATCTTCGTGTCCATGTAAATTAAACGTGAGCAACGATGATGTCATCAGCTCCACAACAAATGACAATGAGCCACCACCATTGTTGCAAAGTATTGACGATATCTGTGGTTGACTTGGAGGAGGGACTGGAGGGAATATATTACCAGTAAATCCTGTTGGTGAAGGACTACGTGTGATGGCGTGTACATCACATGACCAGCACACAGGCCAGCTGGGTACTGGGTATGATTTAGCAAGCGAAGACAAAGCCTCGCAATAACCTAACTGAAAACACGAAACAAAGAAATGTTGTTAAAAAATTGTAGTACAGTATGTAATATGTGGGTGTACGCGAGTCTTTCAAGACGGCAATGTCAGTCAGTAATATTGACACTTTATCGGAATAGAAACGTTTACACTACATGTATATTTATCCCCAAATACTACTTGTATATATTATGAAAATAATTTGCATCATTTTCTCAGTCTGATAACGACTAGTTGACTAGATCTGCTGTACGCGATGGTGGGTCCATATATCCGTAGTTTCACAGCCCTTCAAGCATATTATAGAAAGGTTAAAAAATCACTATGCGGTGGTTAGCGTTATGGCCTTCGTACACACCTGGCATTTGGTTTAGATAGTATATCCTACCAACTTATTTTCCTGATGAAGATCCTTCGTACTCGGCGGGGATGTGTTCATATCCTTATTCAGGCAGACGAGAATCAATATACTAAATACTTGCCAGAGCATGCTTAGATATAGCAACATTAAGCTTTTGACTGAGTGATGTAACAACTTTCGCCAAGTTTATCTTGATTACAGAATTTTCATTGCCAAATGAAGTACCAAACGTTTCTCCTTAACAAAAAATACAGTAAATTACCATTCACATGCACTACATTTCATATCACATATAGAGATTTAGGCACCTGGCAAATTGCAACTGATAATAGTGCTGATCTTACTCACCAAGAGATCTTTTAGCAACAGCAAGCAATGGTTCTTTACTTGTACAACTATCTTCAAAAAACATGTTTTGTACTAATCTAGATAAACCAGATCATAAAATTAATTGTAGTTAGAGGTTAAACATTTTTACCTAAGTAGCTGTTTAGTTTTAATCAACTGAAAATTTCGAATAAAGAGCAACTTACTCTTGCAATAATCTTTTTTCAAATGCATTAGCACTTACTTTACAACAGTTTCCGCAGCCGCAGACCTAACCCTCGGATCAATATCTGCAAGCAAGTCCACCACAACATGTTGAAAGAATGTTTGCTGAAGACTGGAACTTATTCTCTGATAATAAAAGAAAAAGAAGTAGCATTAAGTACGCAAATATAGTTAATAAGGATTATATTTGCCAAGTACGCAAATAAAGTTTATTAGAACACACTCAGGTATATATAGATGGTTCTTCCACAAAGAATATGCAAAAATAGAGAACTAAAATTGTACATTTATTACGAAGAAAATGGAGAAATTACTGTTGCTGTTGCTGACATAGTTACTTACCGTTGACTGTTCTGATGGAATGTAACTTGCTTGTCTTTCAAGGAAAGCAATCAAACTAAACGATGACAATTTATGTTTAATGTTTTACAGTGAGAATGAAACCAAACCACATACTGTAAATTATTATTAGGTATTAGTGTACAGTACCTAAAATTTAAGTCGCCAATAATTTGAAGAAGTTCGACCTGCAAAATATGAAATAAAATATTACCAATGTACAATTTTACTAAACAATTGAAGCTGTTATATAACACTTAAAAAACAAAATAATATATTCTAAAATTGTTTTTCACATACCTTAACAAGCCAATATGTATTTTGTTTTAACTGTACCAATTTAAGACAAAGTTGTAACGTAAGAGCTGTATACGAACTCACACAAAGAGCTGGAAGACATTCCTAAAAAACACCAAACAGCTTTTCAAATGACACCAATATACATGTAATAGATGCAGGGTGATGCTATTTGTTATAACCGGAGGAGGTTGACGTCACAGGCAAACGTTGTTGCTGACGAAACTATACCTGTATTCCTAAACAAGCCAATCTTACAGTGATTGAAGATTCATCAAGTACCAACTTTTCCAGTACATTTAACAAGACATCGATGTTTAGATGATCTGTAAACACAGTAAATATACTCACTTTATAAGTCAATATTACCTATAAATTTAAACTGACTGTTTTAGCAAAAACTGAAATGGCAGCAACTCACCAGTTTTACATTTTTCACAAATTTCTAAACACCATGTCTCAAAATCATACCTAACATAAAATGCATAATAAATTTACTAGTACACTTTCTTGAGTCTTGAATCATAACATAAGTAACTCGAAAGCATGATCATAGGCTACAGTGCTTTAGTAACTTATTTTGTCTAAAGCGAAATTATTTTAATTGCCAGTGGACAGTGGGTGAATTCCAAGTTAAAAAGGGTTCCTTATTCAGAACTTTCTCATTTAGCCATGTCTGCTTCTGAGTACCTGGTGTGGCAACTCCTGAATCATCACGAAAAAAGTTAGAAATGTCCCAGGGTAGAGTTCCGAAAGTAAAGGCCCATGAAAGTACCAGCCCCAGCTCATAACAGACATCACTTGATGGTAACACTGCAGTAGTAGCCGTTCTCCCGTGCCCGCTAATAGAGACCTTACGGTTTTAGGACGGCAACGCGACGGCGACGGCCAAAACAAACTCCTCCAAATAAATGGTAGTAAAGATAATTCGTCGTATATTATCAATCGTATGAATTTAATACAGTTTTAGAAGTTGAAGACATGCGTTTTATGGTTGGAAAGAGTACTGCTGAACTCAGTTTGAAATTGCACTTGTTGCGGTTTGAAATGCAGCCGTTGTATCAAGACGTGAAAATCTGTGATTTGGCTGGATGTAGTTATTCTGGCAATTCTTTTCAATTATTTATTGTATTGGTAGCCGTTGCCGTCGCGTTGCCGTCCTAAATCGTAAGGTCTCTAATACCGCCCACTACGCCAAGCCACCACCATAGCACAGAATCATTACATGAACTGCTACTTTTGCTACTGTTGTAGAAATAATGGTTTTCTCACCTTGATTGTACAAGGGATGATTGCAGAAGATTCCCCAACAACAGAGCAAGACTACCACGTATAATTGGGTCATGATGTCCTTCATATAACAACACCTCCCGTATTAACTGCTGGTTACTATCACCATTACTACCCTCTTCATCTGTTTCCGGTACAACACGTGTTAGAAATGCCTGAGGGTAAATCTTAAAAATGGCTACCAAGCAATTTAATGCAAGTGATTTAACACTGACACGTACAAGACGATCTGATAGTATCTCGCCGTTCTTTCCCGACAGTAAAAATGAGCACATCACCCTTGCACAATGAAGAATGGGTACACCTCCACATACAACAGGGTCAATATTAAAACCCTCATTGACGCCTTCGTTTTCTCCCTGATCTAGTTCAGATTCCTCATTATCCTTTGATATCATATCTTGTTCTGTTTCATCACTATTAAGTTCATCAGTAGAGCTAGCTTGTGTGACAATACCACTAGTGTTTGATCCAGATCTATGGTGGCCTACCACGCTATCGCTGTCTGTGTCCAGAGATCCTTCAGTACCATCCTCAGATATTTCAGATGCTGTATCGGTCATTATTTCAAGTGTTTCGTCCTTAGGCTGTGAGAAATGTCGTCGTAATTCTTGAATATCCGCCACACTCATGCCACTTTCACCAACCTTCTCACTCGCACCGTCCACACTTATCTCACCCAAGGGTTCTTCAATACCCGAATCTTGCTGTGACGTGAACGATAATGTATCAATATCATCCAATGTTGTACTCAGAAAACTACCTGTATCAAAAAACGAAAAATCATGCATAATGTCACTATCCTGTATACTGTATTTGCGCTCAATTAGAGAGAAACTCGTCTAGTATAATTAAAATGTTTGTGAGTATTGGACTCATTTGAACAAGGCTTCAACAAAACAATTACAGTAGTTGCGTGTGTCATCCCACCACTAAATCCAACAGTACCACAAACCTGAGCGATCCTGATTTGAAAATGCTACAAGTCCTTGCTGAGATAAAAGTCGATACAACAATTTTCTTGGAGGTGTTTGCAATAAATGTTGTAAAGTCTCTAGACCAGCTGTCACAACATTATGATCAGAATGTTTTGTAGATAGCATTATTAATTTGTACATCTACAAAGATAGGTAATTGAGTTAAAAGCAAATCTTATTGCAGCCAAAATTTTGCTTCCAAACACCTTTGGCAATCGAAATCTCTGTAAACGGACACTCTGAGCTAATGGACACCTCTGAACAACAGACAATAACACCATTATGAGCACAAACCTAATATATTCAAGTAAGTCAACTAACGACGTATAAAAACCCGAAAAATAAAATATAATACTCAACCTGAAGAAGCTGTTTTTCCTCTTTTTCCAACATTTCCTCATTACTCTGTCGTTTCTGTGGATGAATGACACCAAAACTTCCCCGCATTACAACTTCATCTTCCTGTTCTTCATTAGCAAGGTGCGGCACGATATGACGTAAGCAAAGTAAAACGCCGCAGTATGTGGGAGAATTTTCATCTACTGAAAACGGCAACATTGTTTCTGAAAAATGTAAAGTACCGGTATGTCTTAATGGCAATCATTATCAAATTCTGAATCTTATTGGTAAAGCAAATTGCGGTAATTGGTTGCTTGTCAATTAATTAACACAGCATTGTTGTACAGTATGTATAAAATACTCTGAGTTATTTAATACTGGCGAGCCATGGGCAAGTGGTTGACGGTGTATCTTATATAACATGGAGGCATTGATGTATACACTGTAGCTTGTGTTTTTCTTGTTCAGAGAACATTCATATTCTGCAATTATAATAACCTATCAACCTGTATACTAAACTAAAAAATTACTCACCTAACAAAATATTAATAATCCATGAAAAGAATATTGCTGGTTTTCTTGCATGAAGACAAATCATAGTTATTGATGACGCTGCAGTACGTCGTGTAGGTGCGGATGTTGAATTGATATTTTGAAGAAATGTCTTCAATAAGATCTACAAAACATACGTTTTATAAAATTTATAATACATAGGATTATGTGAAGAGTTTAAATTAAATGTTCAGATCATTTAGTGTGAGTAAAGTTGATAAGCGAATGTTTGCACCATGAAAGTTTGAGTTTGTTAGTTAACCCAGTCAAATCCAAGCCCAAGTCAAATCCGAGCCTAAGTCAAATTTCTGAGTCACTGTTTAGCGGTCTTTGTAGTTCAATGACTTAGTACCCTAACGCTACTCCTAACTCTAACCCTACTCTTAACCCAAACCCTATTTGATTGTGAATTTTATTCAATTTCGTCTTTCTTTAGTTTATGTGACTCGGACATTTGACTCGGGCTTGGAATTGACTTGGACTCGACCTGGTAAATGGATTTACTCCTGAAAGTTTCCTCATAATACTGTATCTCATCAGTCAATTATGGTTGAATCAAACAAGAATATAACATTTGCATGTGACAGAGTCCAGGATGTTAAATACCTAATTTGGGCACACACTTTATCTGCCAGGGGAGCCGACCATGCAAGTCCCAGTCTCTGGCCGCAAAGAACAAGTCACAATCACTAAGGGGCAGTTCATTTTCCTTTCCAGGACAGTTAGGTCGGCTCTTGGAATTTTGTTTTAGTAAATTGATGCACTGTACTGTACCTTTGTCTCTTTGTCATTCATGAATGCACCAAGAACAGGCATAATCTTTTTCATTGCTGTGGCTAATGTCTCCTAAAAAATAGTCATACTTATGCAATAATTTTCTTCTGGACATGCTACAGTTTGGGTTTAAGGCATTGTAGCACAATACAGTTATTACAGGTAACTACAGTACATTTTCTAAGAGATAACAAGCATCAAGTAGAGTAACATACAGTAAGTCTATAGTCATTTCAATGTGAGAAATAATATCATTTGAACGTGAAGAACTGTGCAAAATCAATTTTGGACAGCTTTTGAGAATACAAATGAGTCACTGCAAGAGTCTCATTCATATTTTGGTGGCAAAGATAGAATGTACTGTAAGTGAGTCACTCTCACTGTGTTTCAAGTACCATCATATGATACTGTACCTGGACTGCTTCTTCAGCTCTAGCACATATTCTTGCCAAGCATGGTAAAAGATTTGTGATAAAAGGTCTAAAATCAAATTTAGACAGCATATTATTATCAGAAAATTTGTTATGCATATATTTGCAGCAACATAAGAGTTTCTCTTTCAGCTGTAACATACAACATTAAGTAACTAGTTAAATTAATTCACTAGTATTTACCGGCATTTATGAGGGCGTATTAAATTAGAAATCTCAGCAAACTTTGATAAGGCTGCTCGAAGACATCTTGAATTGCCATTCTACACACACAAAAAAATCATGTTACTTGATAGATCTTGCCAAGCATGTTAGAAACATATCACTTGGGCAAATATGTAATTTTTTATTTTTTTACAGTATAAAGTTCCACACCTTTTTAATTTCTTTATACAGTTCCACATGGACCCGAGCAACATTTGCATCCATAAAACCCTATTTAAAATTGAAACGAAAAGGAGAAGAGGAATTGAGATAGGAGTATTACGGTTTCACATATTTAGAGAAAAGGTTGAAGTGGGGAGATGGCATGAGAAGAGGAAGCTAGCAAAGAGAAGCTAGCAAAGAGAAGCTACGTACTGTAGCAAAGAGAAGCTAGCAAGCAGCCAAGGAGGTGGAATTAGGGGGCAGATCATTAATGAGGTATGGACTTGTAATAGCGGCTGCTTAAAGGGCCATTTGTAAGCTCACAGTCTACCTCGGTCTGCAGACTCTGCTTCACGCCAGTTCCAGCTGTAATTGTAATGTGCACTTGATCATATATACATACTGTATGTAAAATCGCACAATAGAAATATTAAATACAGTATTATTATTATTATTATTATTGTGGAATGCCAGGTATGGGAATGGGGGCCTCAAATTAAGTTTCATCCACCATTATACTGTCATGTACACTACAGTAGATGCTATGGTATTAATTTAAAATTTTGGTTGATAGGGAAGCAACTACCTGAAAATACAAGGAGAATTACAAACAGCCTTCAAAAGGTTGAAGTTCTTCTGGTATTTTTCAAGTAGTTGTATGTCTAACTAACTACAGTTTTGGTATTATCGGCACGACCTACACCGGCACAGATGGTCGTTCATGATGCTATGGTATTACCCTGTGCAGTCAGGAAACCAACCTTGATAATCCGATTAACACAGTCTCCAGCCACAAGACGAACATCTGGCTCTTCATCATCGCAAAATGACAGCAAGGTTTCTATGGAAACTGCTATTAGCTTTCCAAATTCACTAAGATTTCTAGAGTAAAAGTACAAAAGTAGAATGTGGCTCAAAGTTTTAACTAAAGAATTTGTGAATTGATTTTAGATGTAGACTGACACAATTACATGGACATGCATGTTTCTAATATATTTACCTTAAAAGTGGTGAGCATGTCAAATCCCCAATTATATTTAGATTTGAAATTCTGTCCTTTTTAGAGAGTGTGGACTCTTTCTTCCTGTCATTTGAAAATTCATAATTAAAACAACACACTTAAAGTGTGACTAACCCCAAACATAATTTTTGGTACGTGTAATATTTGGGTCATTCTGAGAAGAAATGTAATGTATCTTTATAGTAAAAACCTCATCTTGAGCAACTTTTTCACTGTCAAAGTTCCAGATATGATGTACTCATTAGGTGAATTTTTGGTACAAAAAACAAAGGAGAACTAATTTGCAATTCACCTAATGACATCATTCGTACTTTAAACAAGCAGCTGCGCACTATGGCGAAGGCCCTCACTCTCTTCGTGATATTGTTCTCCAGCTTTTTGGGGGGCTCTTACCTCCAGTAAACCACACTTTCCATCACCCAATTTTGGCCACACATGATTTGTGTGATTTATTAATTGAAGTCTTTTTGGAAAAAACCCATATATTTGAATGTCCCCTACACAACTTAAGGGGGCAAAAACCAAAAACATTGAACTATTTGAACACATTCCCAGTATATCAGAAACTTGTTCACAAGCATTCCCCCCACTCTGTCCAGCAACTTCCTGGATCGGGGGAGGCAAGGATTACAATTTAATACTGGTGCACATAAATAACTTGAAACACAAGCTGTTACCAATTCAATAATACACTTTACAAACACTCAAAATTAAGATGATTTTGTCGAGCTATGAATGCTGCGAATGACAGTTCTCACAATGCAGATACACAGCAAAATGTCTACTTCGGATCCCCAACACTGACAGTTTATGGTAAAAATACAGTATATAAACAATAGTGTTATAGAAGTATAGAATTTATACTCACTTCACTGCGGCAGCAACGTTAGAATCTGAAATAGCCGTCCCATTTTTAAAGTTCTTTAAAGCTTCAAAGGCTCTCAGAAGCTTATCTGCTACAGCTAATGACATTACAAGGTAGCTACTTCCTACCTATTCAAAATTAAATCCATTTCACAACATGTAAATACATGCTTGCAAGAACAACTTATAGTTGGTCGTGCGAAACTTGAAACCTGAAACGAGCACATATGATAGCACCTTAGGAAGGGATAGAGAAACTTGTTTATCTTTCAAACCTTTTATTCTTCCATTGAAGAAATGCCTAGACTTGACGAAAACAACAATATAAATTTATTTATTATTTTAGATTTAGCTGGAGTGGTAACAATGTTTTTAAAAGGGAAAATAAGGTGTTTGACTTCCCCCCACCCCTACCCGGTCGACATAAAATTGTCTTCTGTTTTCCTTTTCATTGGAGCGTCACTTTCGCCCTTCCTCACAGACCAACCATTTATCTTCTTACGTGCTAACATCAAAATGGAAAGAATATAAACATGTGAAGAGCTTTACAAGAAACATTTTAGCTTCAGACATGACTTAAAGTTTAACAGAACCTCTCCTGTTAGTATTAAACGGTAGGTATTATATTTTAATGCAAAATATCTTTGACCATTTCAACTCTTCTAAATATTTGCCATTTAGAATGTTCACTTAAAATCGGGTCGCAACAATCTTTGTCGATTTTTACAAAATCGGATGAGATTTTTGTTTTCGTTCTTTAGGAAAAGTACAAGAAATGGATGCTGGAATTGAAAAATGGAGACAAGACCAAACTGGCTTTCGATCGGCAGAAACGGTTTGTATACATTCTTTGAATTTTCTCTTTCAATCGCAAGTGAAAGGTAGCTTCGAATGGTGAACGCCTCTTCTGCTATTTCTATGTTCTCCACAACAGCAGTGATTCGAATTTATAGCTTTCCAAGGCTTAAATGATTAGGTTTTAGACCTATTTATTAATTTAGATATAAATTAATCTTATTTATGCACTTTTATGTGTTTAATTTCGTCTTTCCTAATGTTCATTTTATTATTGATTGCGACAAATGCCGTCTTTTATGTGTGTCGAAGGTTAATTAAGTGATCCAAAACGTTTTAGCCGTTTCTATAATGCAGTGCTTATTTCAGGTTTAAGTAATTTGACTTAGAAATACGATTATTCAATAAAGTATGAAAATATTTGCGAATTTGCAAGTTATTTTGTTTAATAGTATATCCACAACACAAGGTTAAGGCAAGTATTATTGTATGCATATTGATCACCACTAACAAACACAAAAGCATGTATTTCATTTGATGTTGAAGTTGATGTAGTATCAAATGATTTAGTCAGCCAACTTGGGATTGTGAGTTTGTTATAATATATCAAGGTTTTAATACCTGGGTTAATTAACCCAATCAGTAGATGATCATGGGCTCTTGAATGTGTGTTCCAGAAATGAAATGAACAGAACTTATATAAACTGGAGATCCCCCCAAGCTTGGAGATCATAACTCATTATCGACGACATATGCAATGGGAGGGGGGTTCTCTTAGTAGGTTGATGTGTATATGTTTAATCCATATTAAGCTGCAATGTGCCCAAATGCACCCTACTTTATTGTTTTACTCTGTCTAATGCTCATCAAGAGAGAGAGAGAGAGAAAGAGTACCAGATGTGACCAGATATGGTAATTTGAATTACTTTTTTGGTAATTTTTTATCACCTGAACTGATAATTAAAAATGCCCCTGAAAATCCTGATCACACTGCTTGTTTATAACCCATTCAGTGGCAGTGTCTCCCCATGACAAATAAAATCATCTGGCATTAGACAGAGTAAAACAATTGAGTTAAAGACTAATTATTCTTCTTAACCCATATCAGAAAATCTGGCATGCAAGAACAGAAAACTTAGGACTGAACTTGTTTTAATTATTATATTTGAAACAGCACAATGACCATAACTTGAATGAGCTAGGTTATGGAGGGCAACCAAACTGTGCATAATTATAGGGACCAAGTTTTTTCCCACTGCAGAACAAAACTATATCAAATGAGTAACAGACTTGTATAGATCAACATGAAATGCACTACCATGAGATTGTGACACACCCATAAATCATGCACAACCGATTACCTTGTTGTATGTAATAAAGATAAGAACAAGATGTAATGGCAATCCATATACTTACCTGCCTGCATGGTTAGGTACAGAATAGATCAGCTAATGAACCTGTAGGGATTTCAGTTACTTAGATTTGAGTTATGTGAACATGTCCATTCAGGACCTTACCACTGAATGTCTAAACCTTGTCACACTATTAACTAAGTGTTCAGCAGGAATTCAAAACCGAAATTCAGCAGTTGTCATGGAGAAGAAAAATATTAATATTTGCTTTCTTCTCTAAGAAGAGTACTACTCCAGTTGGGTATGGTACTACTCCTGTTGGATATGAGTACTACTCCACATGGGTATGAGTACTAACTTCTGTTGGGTATGAGTACTACTCCAGTTGGGTATGGTACTACTCCTGTTGGGTATGAGTACCACAGGAACTCCAGTTGGATATGAGTACTACTCCACATGGATATGAGTACTACTCCTGTTGGGTATGAGTTAGGGTTATCCCTTATTGCTTCTCTAAGAAGCGTACTTCTCCAGTTGGGTATGAGTTTGGGTTTTCCCTTATTGCTTCTCTAAGAAGCGTACTTCTCCAGTTGGTATGAGTTAGGGTTATCCTTTTTGATGCAGTTACTACAGTGTTACAACAGCAGGAAACTAGTGAGAGTACTCGAAGAAACGTTCAGATTGGTATGGATGCTCTGGAAGCACTCTATATACCAATGTCTTAGAGGCAAAATTACCACAGGTGAAAGGTACCTGCATTATATGTAGTCAGTACCTTGATCAGATAATGTAGGGACACAGAGTAAGCACATACAGAGGTGCAACTTAGCGAAAAACCGTAAAGTGTTTTTTGGCCGCCATGTTCCAACATGAAGTTGCACCTCTGTATGTATCTACCATAGAAATATTATTGCTATGGTATCTACTCTGTAGTAGGATTAGGCACAGAATAAAGACGCACAGAAGGTCGACTCAGCCAAAAAAGCGTAACCGCTGCCACGCCATGATTCGTCATGAAAATGCTGACGCCATGGTCCTAGCCAGTGCGCTTATGAGAGGCATCCCCTCCTGGACGTCCGCCATTTTGAGTATAATCAGGGGGGTGAATGTCTCTCATAAGCGCACTGGCTAGAACCACGCAACTACGCCAAAATCATAGGAAAAACCAAGAAGTTGGGCTTCTGTATAGTCTTTATAGTGATTAAGGTCAAGTGAGCACCAATCAAGTTATTCACTGTGTCAATGTTAATATCTGTTTACATGACCCTAAATCCTAGCAATAGTTCCTGGAATATTGGTAATCATTTGACCTTTAATCTTTTTTTCCGATATTGGATCATGTTCGGACCGGAAACTAAAGTCCTCGTTCACCATCTACACCTTGTCTCTTGGGTTTCAAAGTGTTAAGCCGCATCTTATTTGTATTCATGCCAAATTTATTATTGTTATCCGGTGGTGAAATGCTGTATGTAGACTATGTAGCATCTGCAACATATAATATAAAATAATAAACAGATATTTGCATGTGGGCCCTTTGGCGAGAAGCTATAGTATAACTATATAACACAGTCTACATTCTACAAGACTAAAATTAAAAAATGTTTTAAGTAAACGGATTGTTTTCATTTAACTTTTATTTTCTTATATGTCTATTTCTTATTGTCTTTATGGGCTTTACAAATCCATGTATACTGCCACAGACACGATGTAGAAATTCTCCAACGTAACCGCTCTTTGTAGAAACTAGAAAACCGCATTACGTTCATTTAGTTGTGTATATCCTTTGACTTTACTCCATTAGTATGAATAATATAAGACCAACCGGGCTTTGTCAAGTAGCTAATTAATAATAAGTACAGTGGCGGTCGTTTCTACAAAGAAGTATATTGGCCACACTTGTGTGGCTAACAAACATACAAAGAGTTGATTTCCTTTTCATGTGACGTCTTTCCGGCGTGACCTCACAGTGATGTATTTTCATTTTCCTATTTCAACATGGCGACATGTAATGTCTCGAGTATTGCAAGGAAAAGAATTGTTGGTCGTATGTGCTGTGCCGGTTCTTCGTCAGGCAGCCTTTGTCCAAGCACACAATACACTAAGGACGTCTCGTTGCACTATTTTCCTGATAAACTAAAGGATGGTGAACGGCATGAAGCTTGGAAGGATTTTGTTAGAAAATATCGGCCTGCTTTCAAACCTTCTAAATCTAAGTCATCTTCGCTATGTTCCCTACATTTCGAAGACAGCTGTTTTGCCATTCGTAGAGATGTTGCAAGAGAACTAGGCATTAGGATTAGACTTAATAAAGATGCCGTACCAACTATTGATACGGCAAGTACTAGAAAACCTAAGAAGAAAAAAGTCGCACATGTGAGGAAGGTATAGTATCACGTGTCCACATTATAATATGGCGTCTGATCTCTTACAGTGTCTGGATATAGCATATGATATAACGTAGCTACTGGAGTACTGCTAGCATCGAGTATGGCATGTATTGTGTACTTGGATGTATGGCATGTATGTACCGGATGTTTGTGAATTTTCTGTCACATTGTCAATGGAGTTATAATATAATGCTAATCAATACTTATAAATGTTAATTGCTGTACCTCCAGGAAGTCTAGCGTCTATAGATATAGGTTTGAGTAAGCATATCGGGAAGCCGCAGACGATGAGTAACCTGGAGGGATTATCATGTTTCTTCTTTTCCTTTATATGTACTAGTCTTGTATTTGGAAACATAGAATTGAGAGATATAGTTTGATTTGCTTGCTCTTGCAAGGTTGATAATGTCTGCAGTTGCCCACTATCTGCTGTGTTCTAAACGCTCAGGGGCTGTTCATATGAGCCGCAGGCTGGCCTAGGGATGAATCGTGTCGCGAAATTTTTTCCTGCCCACGAAAGACCGTTTGAATGAACTCTATAGACCCATTGCACTGACGTCACAAATCCTTTGAGTGTCCTCCAGATGCTACCTAACAATATCTGTTCGGGTACAACAACCACATACAGCGCAAAAATTAAACATTTTAATACAAAATTATTATAGAGCTTTACAAAATTTGCTTTGTTTACAAAAGTTATATTATGCATAGATTGCTAATTTGTCCTCCAGACGCATCCTCACTGGCGCTGTGACGTCATGTGCAATGGGTCTATACTGTTACTGGAATCAAATTAAGAGGCAATGTTTTTCAATGTCACGTATTTGCAATGAAAAGTGTTCAAAACCTAAAATCTTTTTGGCGTTCCTCTCAAAATTACTTTGTTTTAGCTTTATTCTCTGTTGGTGATTGACACTCGGTGGCGACTTAACGGTTTTCCTTGAAAACTTTCGTTTACTTGTCGTAATTTAGTGTTACCCGTTGTAAAAGTTTCATGTCGCTATTGTGGTGTTCTTGTCATGTGTTTCTTTTCGTATTTCAAATGTTATTTATGCACTAAAGGAGCGTCTTTATTTGCTTGTGTGTCCTTTTAAAATTGAAAATGATAATAATTGTCGATTGGGGTATACAGTATTACTGCAGGCAGATCCACTGATTTCAAATTTGTATTTTCAGGTACCCATACAAAACAAAAGTGACGAGCAACCAAAGTTGCAAGTTTCTAAAAGGTGTGAAACCGTTATTCTGTATTAGGAATGTATCTTACTGTATTTTTAATTCTGTCCGCTTTTATTTTTTTTTGAGTATGGTAATTGAAAATTTGCAAAGTGACTTTGGTTCATTTTTCCCAATGCATGCTTTCTGTTTCAAACTATTAAAGATGTTTTTCGTTTTAAAATTTACAAAATGTATACCATAGCGAACCTGATTCTATCAAGCTTTGTGCCATAATCCCATCTTGTCGAAACGATTGTGACGATTATGTGTAAATATGGCTTGTTTCTATTCAAAGGGAAAGAAAAGTAAAAGTCAATGTATGAATTACGGATAAAGAGTTTTGATACTATAAACTATTGAAATTATTTCCAGTATTATTTTGTCTGATGACATTGAAATAAAGACGAAAATTTGCATTTCAAAAACTTAATTTGTATTTTGAATTTTAAGATGGCATTACTTTTGCGAATTTGGTTTAGCATTTATTCGTGGTTTTTGGTTTATCCAATTAACAATATTTGATAAGCACCTTTCGTTTTAGCTTTGATACTTTTACTTCACTTTTCATCATTTCTAATCCTTTTCTACCTGTCCTTTCACAGGAAACTGTCCCGGCTGGATAAACCACGTAAAGTTCTCAAATCTGACTCAACTATCTCTTATGACAGACGGAATAACGTGAATCACACACAAGGAAAGCAATTTTTAACTGATGGTTTTCAGTGTACATTCATTCAAAATACGCCCGAGATTATTCCCATTAATGATGACGTTCAACCTCAAGATTATGAAACATCCACATTGTTTTCAGCGCAACGACAAGGTAATTGGGTTTTTAAATGGAACAAGCATGTCTTTAGGAGACAGAGCGATACATGCAACTGAAGCGACGTGGTTTCAGACGTCGCATTTTGCATTTATCGAATTTAATTTGGTTGGGCGTAGCTTCAAAGACTTCATGTAATGTTATTGAAACGTCACATGTAGACACTTTGGAAAAAGATAAATCTTTGGATATTTTTATTTTCCTACAAATTTAGGCTTAAAATATTCTTACGACATTCTTAAATTTCGGAGTACAGTACCATAAGCTACAGTATCTACAGTTGTTTGTACATTCATCACAGCATAGTATTTCATACTTTCCTCTGAAAGATGTTCTTTGAATGATCTTGGGTATCGTATATTCTTAGTAAAATCTTTAAATTTTGCCCATTTTAACCTTAATATTCTTATAAACGAGATTTTTTTGAGGCTTTAATGTCTGAAGCTTTACGTCATTCCATGCCACGCCCAAGTCAAATTGAATTCAATACATGCAGGCGTCGAAAATATAGTTCGACTTGATGCGAATTGTATTCGACACATCAAAATGCGACGTTTGAACCAAGCCTTAGTTTAATATCTTAACAACTAATATATTCATTGAACATATATTTTCAAAGATTGTAACTCCGACGAACTCCCTCTTGGTCCGCAGGCGTTCGGCCTTGTTCCAGTCCGCAATCCACCACCACCGTCTCAAAGCACCTCGTGTCACTGTAATTGTCACACTCAACTGGAGAAAAAATTCTGCGTCTTAGAAAGGAAGTTCACGTTTCTTCAAAATAAACACGATATTCTACAACAATCTCACGATAAATTATCTCAACTTGTCGAGGCTCAGAACCATCTACTGGCCTGTCATACGGCTCCTCCTCCTACGCGAGAGGCTCTGGCCAATTTTACTTCACAAGAGAATAAATTCATCAAGTCACCCAACATCGAGCCTTCGAGCCCCCCACAATTATCTACGCCAGTCAACGATCGATCACACACACGACCCTTCTTTGAAACCCCAGATTTGCCTCCCGACACCTCGCCCAATGGTGAGGAACAATTTTATACTTTACCAAGACGAGCAACGGCCCGAGATATCATTCGTTTATGGGAGGAAGGCAGTCGTGCTTTACCTCCAGTAAAGAACTGGTCACCTGCTCAGAAAATGAAAGTACAAAGCAAGTTAGCACGTTGGAAGAAAATTATTGATATACTGAAAACGGATTGTGATGGTGATATGATGTTGTTTGAAGAAAAATACTCAAATGGAAACGGAGATCTTTTACCAGTTACGACCATCCTGGCTCTTCATGAAAATCAGTTGTCTTCACAGTTTCTGAGTAAAGGTTTCAGTAATGTCAAGCAGAATACCATTGAACTGAAATCTCCTGGTGAATGTAAGAGCGAGTTCGTGAATGAGCCCAACGCCGAAGATAGCATGTCCCAGGATGCTGCGGTCCCTGACGATGAGGCCACGAACAGGTACGTCCTCCCACGAAAAGTCACGGCACGTGATGTTGTACAGCTGTGGGACGTCGGCTGTGACGAATTCCCTCCGATTGGCACGTGGAGTAAAGCACAAAAGATTGGCCAAGAGACCAAAATCTTCCGATGGAAAAAGATTGTAGACCTGTTTAAAATAGATTGTAATTCAGATTGGGATATGTTCTGTGAACGATACTCGAACGATAAAGGTGAACTGTTGCCATTGGCGACGATACTTGCGAAGCATGAGGCGATGTACACCCAAGAGCATGCAATCCTTGAGAAACAACCGCCAGCAACCACCCGCAACAGTACAACACCTGTGACAACACCTACAACAAAACATGTGACAGCAAGTTCCCCACCCGACACGCCCAAGAGTAACACGCCCACAGCATCTGTGTCTCCGAAGCTCGAGAAATCTCCACGGGACCCCGACACTGTGATTCTACCGCGGAAGGTCACCGCGTTTGAAGTGGTACGATACTGGACCGACGGTTGCGAGACCTTTGGGCCAGTCAAGGACTGGACTCGAGCGCAGAAGATGGGCCAAGAAACGAAAATTAGCAGATGGAAGAAAATTTACGAAATTTTCCGCTACCAGTGTTGTAGGGACTGGGACGAGTTCTGCCGAAGATACACGAATCAGCGTGGCGAATTGTTGCCTATAGCAACGATTTTAGCGAAGTACGAAGCGGAGAACCCGGTAGGAGCTCCGAGTTATAAGCAACACGAGAATGAATCCCACGAGAATGTTTCCCCGGGTTTTGCTTCTCAAGTTATCGGCGAAAGTTGTGCAACGAGCTTTACTGATAATGGTTATACACTACCTCAAGCAGTTGGTATTGATATCATTGTTACCGAAGCAGGAGAGTACGTATTGCCCGATCAGCTTACAGCTGTCCAAGCTTTGGCACTTTGGGAGCATGGGACGGAACAAGTACCACCCATGAAAAATTGGTCGGACGAACAAACGCAACAGCCTGAGCTGCTTGACAACTTCCGCCGAGTTGCGGAGATATTTGAAAGAGATTGTGGCAGCCATTTTCGCAGGTTTCTCGACAGATTTTCCGATACTAACGGAGAACTGTTACCAATAACTGGGATTGTTTACTCCAGCCACTGCAGGAAATACTCGCAGTTTTTTACTGAATACCAAAAAAATGTTAAGCATAGCCGTAGCCGGGGGGAACAATACGAACTGCCGAAACGAGTTGGCGCGAAAGAAATTGTATGGCTGTGGGACCACGGCTGTCGAGACTTTCCCCCCGTTAAAACTTGGTCATCGGCCCAGAAGTTGCGTTACACCACCAAGTTATCGCGATGGCGAAAAATTGCGGATATTTTTCACGAGAAATGCGACAGTAATTGGCGAATTTACGAAGAGAAATACTCCAATGCAAACGGAGAATTGCTGGCTCTTTCCACAGTGATTTCCATGCAAGATGAAACGGAGAGTGAAAGTTACGCTTCCATGATTAAACGTTCTCCTGAACACAATGGCAAGGTCTGGAATGCCGAATCACAATCAAGTAGTGGGATTGAAATGAACAGTGAGAGTACTGTGGGTGGTAATGGGGGTAATGTGGTGACCAACGAGGCTGATGTCGGTCAGAATGAAAGCACTGATCAGTCTAAGGAGTTTTATCTTCCGAAGAAAGTGAACGCTTTAGACATTATCAATTACTGGGAAAATGGTTTTGGTGATATGCCACCAGTTTCAGAATGGACTACGCTCCAAAGATTTCGTCAGCGAAGTAAGATATCTCGTTGGAGTAAGATCTATGATATATACAAGAATCATTGCCGAGGAAACCTTGATGGATTTGAAAAGCTCTATTCGGACGAGAACGGGCAACTTCTACCTGCCACCACCATCATTTCGATGTACGAATCGCGTGTCGACGCGGATCAGTATAGCGAGAACGAAACGCTGCCGAAAGGACCGGTCGTGCGGAAATATGCTCTACCGCGGAAGGTCGATGCCAAAGATATCGTTCGTCTGTGGGAGGAAGGCAATGAACACTTTCCACCCATCGCTGCGTGGACCAAAGCGGACAAAATCGGTCAGGAAACAAAGATATTTCGCTGGAAAAAGATTGTGGATATTTTTAAGAA